CAGGAGTTCCCACCGTTCTCCTCCACAGAGGCATCGGGTACCTCCCGTCACCTCCCTCCAAGGAGGCTCTCGGGGTATTACTTTCCATTTTCTTCGTGCAAGAGTAAAAATACCCATTTAAAAGTGCGAAAGCCCCAGGGAGCCCGGTAAGAGTAAACCGAAGTCAGCGGTGCTGGAGTCGAGAAGCGTGTTCGCGCGCAGTTTTGCCCTCCCTACCAAAGGAGGGCAACAAGCGTTAAAAATGAAAACAGCCCATGGAAGTTCCAGTTACCTTTCCACATCGCTGGCTTTCGCTTACATAAGCAACGCTGATATTTCTTGAAGCATGCACCGAACAGACAGGAGGGAGGTTTGGTAATCACAGTTTTATTTACTCAGAGTGGACAGTGCTAATGCAGAAAGTACCGTGTGTTACCGCAGCCACCGCGCCCAGCTCGGGAAATGGCATGATGACATCAGGACAGCACCTATACATCCCTGGCAGAAGTTTACAGAAAAACTTTACACAGAGAAGACACGGTAAGTCTGCTGCTTGGTCATTTGTTTATCTAAGCAGTCACACAGTGACACCAATTACATCTGTACATCAAGAGAAAAAAAAAATACACCGTACAGAAGATAAGCCAAAGTTCAGTGGTTTGACATCTTCCAGGCTGTCAATGTTTCCTCGTCCCACACAGACTAACTACAGGGGTTGCCAAGCACCATAAAGATAAGTACTCTAAACCTTACAAAGAACGTCCAGTTTTGCAGGAGATTGTCAAAGCTGTGCAGAAAAAAAACCACAACCACACACACAAAAAAACTCACAAAAAACCAAAAACACAGGCCAAGTCTGTTCATCCGGGGTTTAACAGACAAACAAAACCATGAAACAAATGCGCAAATGCGCGAGCACTCACAGGAGACTTCCTGATTTCACTGGACATGGGACCAAGGCCTAGATAAGCAACAAGCCAGTCAAAAAGGTAATTTAAAAAAACCTTGGAATTATCTAAAAAACCCCCAATTCTTTAAAAATCTGTTGGTTATAAAACCAGTTCACCTATGATGATTACTAGGTGTAGAAAGGAGGCGGCCATTATGCTTTGAATGAGATCTTTCACTGAATGGTGTCTTAAGGCCTGCGTTGCCTTTTGGACTAACACTTAAAAACATGGAGATAGTCACAAAAAAAATACTACTTTTCTTTCTTTGCTAACTGTATAAATGGAAACATGAACTCCATAGCTTCAGACAGGCGGGGCTTTAAACCATTAAGAGTAGCAGCAGAGGAAAAATTTTAGTCTTGATTTAGAGTTTTTACTCTACTTTGCATCTAACAAATCTTTGAAATTCTCAATAATCGTGTATACAAAATTTAAAAACAAAGGGCCTGATCCTGCAGCCCTTATTCCTCAGAAGGCTACAGATGCCAATACCCATCAAGATGGCTTTTTCTTTTAAAAAGGTCAGTAAACAGGGCACGAAGCACAAATTTGCACGCAGTACTGCATGACAATTACAGAAAGATAATTTCTAAATCTGCAAAAACTTCAAATATATATATAATTATTATATATTTATTTATTATGTCTAATAGCTCACTGTAGATGCACAGCAAACTCATCTTTTCTTGATAAATAAAGAAACCACTGATCAGCACGGCAAGGACAGGTATCTAAATCAAGGTGAATGGCCAAGCAAGTGCAGAGGTACTCTACGCAGAAATTGTTTTCTTTGCTTTAATAGCAGCTTCAATCTCTTCCATGATTGGCACTGGCCCTGCATAGTTATTAGTTTCAATAGCTTCTAATTTCTTCTGATAGTCAGCTGGCAAGCCATTCTGTTTTGCACCCATGCAGATAACCTGTAATCAAAAGAGGAAGAAGAAGAAAAAAAAAGCCTTCAATAACAGTGTTAGGAAGGACAGACCCCTCTAAACATTTACTCGTATGGGAAGAACCACTTAAGGTAACAGAGAATTAATCCCAAATAATGCTATTTGTACCTAAAGATAGCCAAAGGCTTCTGGAAAACCACTGAAGACCTTAACAGTGTCAACAAAGTTACTCTGAAAAGGCTTGCAACTGCCAAGGCATCTGCCCAAGATTCTGAAATGTTACCAACGTGCACAAGATGTACAATTAAGCTGTTGTTCCGTTGTTCCATCCTTTCTTCCGGTGAAGATGAGAACTACTTTTTGTGCCTTCAGCCAGCCTTAGTATCACATCTGAGTGAGAAGCAGCGTGTATTACTGAAGATATTTTTTGAAACTAAGCTGTTCACATCCAAAGCACAACAGTGAGTACCTAGACAGGTTATAGGAGTAACAGGAACAGATACTTAGCTTAATGAAAAAGCATGGATTCCTTAGACTTCGTTACCGCAGCTTTGCTTATACATACAAAATAAACTGAAGTATTGGTGCAAGAGTAAGGAAGTGACAGTGAGAGGAAAAGACGAGGCTGCAAGAGCCAAGGCTTGAAAGAGACACCAGCAAGCTCCCATACAGAAATGAATAGATAAACATGCAGATTTTAAAAGCTGACACTGTTGTAAAGATTCTTTCATAAATTCAACAGCCAGGAAATTCAAGCATGAGGTGTCTAGAAAGGATGAACTTTGCCACAAAAAGTACACAACAGTAGATGGATGTAGATCACTGTGTGCCGATGCAGTCACCTGTACTAACTTTTTAGCCCTCCTCCCTGGTTAACTGAAACAAATAAAAGCTGGGGGCAGGGGGGGAGAACTAACAGCTGACCCTGAGAACAGCAGGAGGGAATGTTTAACTAAAGTTGCCAATATTGGAGGTTTGCTCTTACAAGCATACTAGTGAGAGCTGACACACAGCAGCAGACTATGTATTAACTCCTCGAAAAGTCCTAAAGGAAGCGGGAAGACAGGGAGGAGGTTTGTGAAGTAGCAGAGCCTGCTTTCTAAGCAAGCTTTCTCTTCAGAAGTCCTGCAGCAGCTGGCCTTAGCTATGCTTCTGGAAGCTGATCCATGGGAGTGAGTTCCTCAGTTAAGAGAAGGCGGCACACTTGGTATTTAACAAGCTCAAGCCCTGTTTCTTTGCTTTCAGTAGAAAAAGTCAATGTGTCACAGCAATGCCTATCTGCAATTGCTAATAACTGCACAATTCCAGACATGCAGTCATGCCACCCGAGGCTAGGCCCGCATCAGATCTCACAAGCTAAGCAGGTCAGGCCTGCTGCGTGACTGGATCATGTGTCTCTATAGAGTCAGGGTGTTGCAGAGCAGTGTTGACACACTCCTGCCTCACCAGCCATCAAGTGGGAACCCTGCAGTGCTCTGCAATGTGGCTGGAAGTCCTGTGATACACTGATGATGCATCTGGTAAAATGAGGCAGGTGGACCCCTCTGTTAAATGATAGTAAGATACTTCATAAGACAATAGGGATAATCTTTGTCCTTGAGACCACAAGCCAGGCGCTGTATTCTCCCCACAGCAGCTTCCCTCTGTCCTTTTAGTGGAGTACATTAATTTTTCAGGTAGAGAATTGCTGCATATATGTAAACAAAGTCCTTCAGAAATCCTTGTGTCAGTCCTAACTAATTCACGAGTTAAGTAGAGGCTTCATTCAGGCATAGCTAAGCCAAAAAAGTAAAACTGATTTAGTACGCCTTTAAGAGCAAGCAATCTAGCTTGGACTTGATGATCTTAGAGGTCTTTTCCAACCTTAATGATTCAATCCTCTGTGAGCATCATCACACTATTACGTTGCACAAGGATTAGGTTTTACCTTTGCATTAGAGTTACTCATGCCTTCCATCCACTGTAAATAAAGTACTTCTTAAATAGGACAGAAGTATATGTGGCATTATGTATTTCTGTGCATTCTCTCCAAAATTAGAGTGATGCGACACCTACCTTTTTATACTGAGGAGAAGGAGGACCACAGACATAGTCCTTCATCTGGTAGCTTCGACAGGTCAGTACCTTTCCTGCTTGAGTGTGGACGTTAACTTCTATTGGGACATAAATGCCATCTTCAACTCCCTCTTGCCTGTAAAGGACATACATTCCTTTCACGCCAAGTAACTGATACATCTTTCAAACAAACTGTGCAATTAAACATATGCATTTCTTACAACAGAATTCAAGGCAGGACACTGGTCTGTGCTGTTTACAGACTTCAAGAAAAACAAATAAAGCAAAACATATTCCAGTACTTTCTGTGCAAAGTTGTTTCATATCCAAAAATAAGCTTCTAAGGAAGCAGCAGCACTCATTTTTATCATTTCAGCTCTGTAAGAAAGATGACTAGTGGTTAACTTGCGAAGTTAGAGAAAGAATACCCCTTATGAATTAATTCCTGTGCAAGTCTGGTAATCTGCAAAAGAAGCACAACCAAGATCATCAGAATTAATGAGCCAAGCACATATAATTCGTTACCTTCCGCTCAGATAATGAAACAATTGCAAATTTTTATCGTGCGCCATGTGTTACATTTGAATAAGGGGAAACTCGCGGAACTCTTGCAATGCACATTCCAATGAATAATCCAAGACGCCCTTTGATTTGCGCAAGACATGTACAGCAACAATGAGCTAAATCAGGATGAAAACCATTTTGTTATTTTTTTATTAGCAAAATCGTGCTGCCTTGGGAAAACAAAACCAAACTCAAAAACAAGGCTACTTGTTGTCTTTAACCATTAATGTTTAGCCACCAGTAAAAGCCTGAGGAAACGGTAAGAAATAAAGGAGAAGCTTAAGCAATACAAGACAGACTTTAGAGCACAATTAACTGTAGATGTGCTTTAGATGTGAGTGGTAACATGAGTTTTAACACTGCTCACCAAAATCTCATTTTGACAACTTATCTTTCAAAGACTTACCACCATTTCAAGTTATTTAACATACACAACACGGGCTGTGTTATGTGAGTAACTGGGTTAAGTGCAAGTAGAGACTGGAAGATAACTGCAGATTCAAGGCCCACAGACTGCAAAATAAGTCACGTGAGTGTGTGACAGCAAGAAAAATGTTACAGTTAAGTAACATCCATTGCTACGATATATAGGAGGAAAAGTCATGATTTCGTCTGTAACTTACAGATTTGTGAAGTACAGAAGACAAAAAAAACCAAAATCTGCCCATGAGACAGCACCAAAAAGCATTTGAAGCCAAAACGTTCAGCCATCTAAGAAAGAGATTCCTCGCCCATATTTGTTTTCTATCTATTACGTTTTTTTACTAGTATTTCAACTAACGACATGCAGCATCAATTATACATTCCCAAGGCACAGACTTCTTGACTTCTTTACCTAGATTACGGGAAAAAAAGGTGGAAGGGGGGGACAAAAGCAATTTTTTTTTTCTTGCTACATGGAATTTCCAGGAAGTAACTTAACTGAGAACTTACAAATATATCTGCTTGTGGACAGCCAAAGCATCCCAAGACCTTCAGCAGCAACACATGCAAGTTCATTTGAGTCGGTTAGGAGCAATCCTTAGAAGAACACTATCGACTGTCACTATAAAAGCCAAGAACACACCCTTTTTCCTTCCATTTCCAGTCCACCTTCATGGCATCAGTGAGGCAGCTTGGGAAAAAGCAATCTTTAATGCTAGTGTCCACCCTGCAGTTTTTGGTGATGTTATAGCATTCCAGTCTCTAGCATCTTAGCCAGCATTAAAGTTTATCCCCTGTCAAACAAATGACAGGGATCTGCAATTTTACAGTATGTAAACAATACTTCTGAAAGTCACAAGACAAAATACTGTCCCCATAGCAGGGAAAACACAGTGCTGCTATCAAAGCGGATGCTGTCAGACAGCATACTTGTGAAGTTTATGCTTTAGGAAAGCATGGTAAATCAGGATATTTCAGTAAAGGTCAACAGAAAGAGGGGCAGCAGGTACGTGCTAGCATAAGCAACAGAGGGGGAACTCAGGAGATCATAAAGCAGGGACCTGTGAAGCTCTCCCCTACCAGAAGCACACCAGCTGGATGCCCTCCTGCTTGGGACTAACTCCCGACCAGGAGTGGAGAGCGCCCATTCCCACAACATGCTGACAGAACTTGGGCAACAGTTTCTGTTGTGTTTCAGGTTCGCTGTAGGCCATGACAAGCAAGCTGGAGCTTCAAGTTTCATGGCCAAGCTTATGAGGACAAGTCTACACAGCACAGTGCAGCCATACCAAAACTGCAATAGTACCAGAGGCAGAACTGCACTAATGTAATGCTTTCAACAGGTTTCATATGCCCTGCTTCCTCAGCCTCACTAAGCCCAGGTTTCTACGGGAATAAACCGACAGTGATGAACTGCTGACCAAGCAATCCTTGTGTACCAGAAGCACCATGCTGTGCAGGTGCACCCCAAGTGCTGCAATAAGCACGTGACACCAGCCAAAGTTTTGGATATGAAGTTCTAAGTCCTGCCTCGGACCCTGCAGGAAGTTCTGCTACTCCTCGATCTGTTTACCCAGGTGGTCCTCCAGCCTTCAGCCTGGGTACGGGTTGGGAATGACTTGCTCAGGTTGCCTTAAACTTGTCTTAAGTCTTAATTATCAGGCACAGGCAGAGCATCCTCTGCCATGTGCTGTAGTGGTGCGGGCAGCCTCTCAAAGGGAGAAACAAAACCACCCCAGCTCCCTACTTGGATCTACCTCAAGTTCACAAAAGTCTGAATCCTTAGAAAAGAAGACATGCAAAATAACCCCCTCCAAAGGTCCCTTTGCCGGTATTAAACATCCCCTTCTCTTCCGCAAAGTCTTGGCCTCAACCCTTCCTTTTCCATTACAACTGGAGTCTACAGATGTAGAGACAGGAATTGATGTCAGTCTCAAAGGAAACTCCCTAGAGCAATGGGAAAAACATCATGGGACAGAGTTTAGAGTAATTTAAGGCACAGGACACTGTGAGGACAGGGGTTAAAAAAAAGGAGCCTGACCAATACATCCGCTCCAAACCAAGGTCCACGCCTTATTAAAATTCCCCTGAGCAGCTTTAGCTTGAAAACAAAGCCATTTTAATCACAAATGTGTTAGAAGTCAATACATGTAGTATGAAGTGAAATTCACATATTAAAATCCAAAGCATCCTCTCAGTTGCAACACCAAAGCTTCCACACAGCTCTTTATCAAAAATTTACTACTTTTAAATTGCTCTCTAAAATAGTAGAGGACAGCAAAAGTTAAGTCACCTACTTATCCAGTGAACTTAAATTGCTAGCGTTCATTTTCCACACTATTCCCCACACTTCGTCTCCAGGGCTCTGAGCAATGGTAGCTGTACCTCCATGCCAGACAGAACTTGTCCTGCCTTGATGATGTCCAAACTCCAGCTTAAAATCCTGCAAATGAGACCAATGCAGAGAATCAATTTCCACTTAAGATCAGGGCCGTTGGCTATTCTTGACATGAAAGGGGCAGCTAAAGCGGAGTCTACAAGTAGTCAGTGGAGCCACAGGAGGAGGAAGGGACAGGTGGGATCTGATCCTGCTCCATCTTACAAGGGGCTGAAGTCAGCCTCTTCCACCTCCCCCTGAGAAACAGCAGCCTTGGGACACAGGGAAGAGAGGTCTGGCAGAGAGCCCTATCGGTAAAAGTCTTGGTCTGCAGAGATGTGGATCAACATCTGAACCTCTTAGTAAGCTGGCCTAAACATTAGCTAACAATTCCTAGCAGAGAGAAGAAAGTGGAGGTAGCCCTTTTTCAAGTGTAGCACACATACCCAATTCTGCAGTAAACACAGCAGTGCTGAAGAAACGTCAGCTTGACTTTTGTCCAAGTTGGCAGTGACAGGATCGCTGATGTGCTGCCCTCCGGACAATCTGAAGGGCCCTCAGCTGAGATGCGACATGAAGGAGGGAACTGACTAGTGCCGCCTTCTTGTTCCTCAAAAGACATTCCTACCTGGTGCCCATTCCTTTGCAGCTTTTGGTGCTGTTATAAAACTTCAATGCTACCATGCCGGGTACAGGAAAACAATAAGGATGAAAATGCCTACAAGATGGTGAGCTTTGGATTTTTTCCTAATGCACTAACAGAACTGCCCAATTATAAAATACCATCCTGTGTACTTTCCTGTGTTCTGTGCCATCTCATCGCTCAGCTGGAACATTCTTGGGTATTTTTATGTCAAGGCGTGCGCCTCTTTGAGTGAGCTTATTCAGGTTTTTGCAGGTTGAAACATTCTTTTAAATTAAAACCAAATCTCTCTTTTTCTTATAAGTAATATCAAATATTACTTTATGTGTAAAAGAGAATGACAGGTTCTTGCATTTTTACAGTGTAATTTCCCATCTGTCTCCATACACTCAGTCTCCTCTCCTACTTGTTAGCTGATTTGTGGATCCTTCCCCTACCGGTAGAGAAGAGAAAGAAAAAAAAAACCAAGCAAACCAAACAACTTTACGGAAGACCGCCTGCTTAACCACAACAACAAAATCTGGCAAAGGCAAAAAGGATTAAAAACAACAACAGAAAATAAACCTCAAACCTATACTACTCCAGAGGTTTGCTAATTTCTCATGATCACCCTCTTTACACGATAAAACAGATTAGATTTGAAATACATGTGTCTGCATATTGAAATTCACCTTCTGAGATACATTACCTCCTTGGAATACATCCTAACAAATATGGAGAAAAGGCTGCAGAAGTTGAGCAGCTGGAGGCTTACCCACAGAAGAACAGCACTGGTCAGCGTGTAAGCAATAATCAGTAGCCTGGCAAAGCCATACTGTTTGTTTACTCCATCAACAGAGTCATCTTCCTTCCCCACAAGATATCCCCCATTCAACTGATTTCACTAGAAAAAAGTTTACTTAAGACACACCAGTCGTCAACCATTCGACAAGCTGCTGCAAAACAGCTTTGCAGTGTTCGGGTCACTGGACGATGGTGTGAGGAGCACTCTGGACTATACCCTGCAGACAGCGAAGCCCAAGTAATTTGCACACAAGAGTCCAGTCAAGTTGCAGACTGAAGTTATAGATGTGGACAAGTGCTTGCGGGGCAGCCCCAAGGAAATATTCCCGCAGAGCCAAGCACGCTCACAGCAGTCCAGTAAAAAGAAAAAAAATAAACAACAAAAAAAAAACCCAACAACAAAAAAACCCCCAAACAACCCAGCACCCATTTTTATGTTATTCCTCCAGTTATAGTTTCTTGGACGTGACCTGCAGTGAACACCTGCAAGGAGGTGTACAGAACAGTCGGATGTCACCCAAGCAGGGCGAGAGGCCGCACAGGAACGGCACGGTTAGCTCCGGTTCTGGAAGCAGGAACCCCTGTGTTACGCCACGCAGCCAACTGCAGCAGGCACTGCAGGGAAGAGGGAACAAACATGACAGATGCCTTCCTGGGCCAAGAGCGTGGTCTCTGGCCGTTCTTCTGAGCACCACTGCAGTACCCTCCAACCCCCGTGCGCCTCCTCGCTTCCCCGGCCTGAGCCAAGGGAGCGAAGCCGCCCGGCGTGGGCAG